ATTCAAATAAGGTATCCATTGTTTAAAAACATCACACCCAAGATGCATCTGTCTTCATGTTTTAGTCATGTAAGACTGAAATGCTTTCTGAAATGAATCAGAGATCAGCATGCTTAAATTACATAGATGAACTTTACATGCAGGAGGCTTACTACCTACTTAGTAATTCCTTCTTCCATAGTTTAACGTGGATTTTTAAATATGTTGAAGAAAATGTTTTTATTGTTTTTAGTTTGATATGACAGGATTAAAATTTGGGAAGAAAGTATAAAACTTGAACATTTCCTGTTAATGCAGTCCCTGGAACAGCAACAGCCCATGGCATTAACCTTTAGGTTATTAATATGTTGATGAAGGGGAGGATTAAGAAAAGGGCGGATTGGAGGACACAAATGGCACAAAGGCCAGAGGCAAATAATCTTGTAGTGACTCCTGTTTGAAAAAATAGATTCAAGGCAGAAATTGGAACGTTTCCAAAGCTGGTTCTGTGGTCATATGAAGTCACTTCCCAGCTGAGATTCTTCCTCTGCTCGGGGATTGCAGAAACAGGTATTTGAACTATTAATTACACTTAAGAGTCAAATAAAATAAATACAGCTTCAAGGCTAGTGCTTTACTGGGAAGACAGTGATAATGTATCTCGGAGCACATGGAGTGTGAAGGCAGCTAAACTGAATCTTCATCCCAAAATGTCATGCATGCCCCCCCCTCTCCCCCTGTGACTGTGGTAAAATATTTGCCCCCTACCCACCGTTACCCTGCTGGCACTGTAATTACATTAGCCATACTGCATGGACTTCACTTTTGAACAGCAGCCCTCCATGTTCCACCTTGGGGAACTGGGAAATGATTTTCTCCATTCCATAGTCCACTTCCTTCTGGTTGTGGATGCCCATGTGGGAGCTGATGTGACAGGTGCTGAGAGCTTAGATCAAAACAAGATCATTATGTGGAAAAACTGAAGAGCGATCCTGATCTGTCTGTGGAAAACATTGTAGCTGTGCTGAAAATGGGATTAAATTGGCTAAAGATCATAATGAGGGGTCAACTTTTATCTTGTTAAAGTCCCAGTTTGTTTCTGACACCAGTGGAAAGTCAGTGAGCATTCCCTGGCAGAAAGTGGTGCAAACAATAAAGCTGCACAGCAGGCTGCCAGCCAGGAGCTCCAGTGTCCTGATCCCTACTGACTTACTGTGACCTTGGGTGAGGTATTTCTTTTCTCCCTGCTTCCCTGTCCTGTAACCTAGAATTAACAATGATGTTTCAGAGGTTTTGAGTTAAATACCTGTTAATTGTAAAGCACTTTGAAAATTATAAGCTCTATATATGTGCTAAGGTCTAATCCCTCACACCTGAATAGTATGGCTGATACTCAGAATGGAGGAGTTCTTACTGGATGCCAGGGCAAGGAACATGATGATGAGGTGACCTCAGCCTGAGCAAAACAGGTTTTCAGGCAATAACTGTGGAGTAATTCAGGAGTAATTCCTAATTCCTCTGAAGTGGGGGAATGCAAGCTGAGCCCATTAGCAGGGTGGGTGTGGGACTGGGAGAACGGGAGGTTAGGTATGATGCAAAGGGAATGAGAAATATACTGTTGGTCAGACAAACGTCAGCTCGGATGTGTGGGACAGTGGGAAAGAGGTTGTGCTTAAAGCTGGCAAGCAAATAGTTAAGCTAACAGGTTGGGCAGGGTGGATTAACAGTGAAAACAGGAATGAGGTGCCATAGCACCATTTTGACCAAACAGGAGGGTGTTTAATGGTTTGGGGGTTTTTCCCAATGTCTGCTTTGAGGTGCAAGGTGGATTGTTTTTTCTCTTCCCTGCTCAAAACAAGCAGCACTTTCTAGAAAGTGAAGTTCTGTGTGTTTCCATCCACTTTGAGCAGCAGCCTAAATCAACCCTAGATTGGGTTCTGTGGTTCAGCAAAAAAAAACAGCAGGCACATGTCCGTCTGGAGTCTCTCCTGGACCATGACCAGTGTGGGGTGCTGAGCTAATCAGGTCACCAGGGTGACTTGTACTGCCCTAAATGCAGCTTCTGCATAGTGAGTGCCTCTGGCTGTGGGGCTGGCAGTTCTGTTTATAACTGCTATGCTGCTCGATTTCAAGGTCATTCAGAGGGGGAGTTGCCCATAAAATAGACTTTAAAGTGGTACCTATACTTGCTTTGGTGCTTTCTAATCAACATACACATGTGTTCAGAACTATTTCTTTTCTGGACTCCCTGTGGCTTTTTGGTATTGCATGGCACTGTTTTGGAAAGTGGAGAGAGGAAAAATACATAACACTTCTGTGTCATGAAAAAAACAGGTTGGTTAATGGTTATTGATGGATAGCAAATGCTTAGTGATTTATGACAGAGCAAGTCGGCAGAGCGTGGAGTCTTACAAAACACGTGGGACAGGTTGAGTAAGCTCAGAGTCTGCACTTGTTAGTAAGCTGGTGAAGTACAGGTAATCCCAGTTAAATATCCTTAATTGTTATCCTTATGTATATATATCTTCCATTGCTCAGGATCATGTTGCAGTTGTCATCTGGTGGCAATTAGAAGCACACAGGCATTGCTACCAGAAGTGCCACATTTCTCTTAGGAAAATGTGGTTTTCTCAGTGCCATGCAATTTGTACCAGTGTGTAGCAGCATCATTATTTCTTGTAACATATATAATAATGCCCAATCAGCTTACAAAACACTACCCAGTCATGTGCTGATCAGATGATAGTCATGTCATTGCACTAGCTTGGGCATTGCAAAAAAAAAAAAGAGTAATTTGGGGCACTTGCTTTGTCATAAAATTTTATTATAATGGTAGAAAACACGTTCAGATTGAATAAAAGTCCGGGACGTAACAGAAGGCTTTACATCCACCCCTTAGGCTCCATGGAAGAACATCTGTGGCCATTTGTAATATATATTTTACATCGTAAATCTGTAGTATGATTATAGCTTGTGTGAATACTGCTTCTCTAGTCTGGACACTTATCCGACTATGTTCAAGAGACATTCAAACAAGGCCTTGTGCTCTCTCGCCTGGAGGAGCTGTGCTGAGCTGGTGTTTCTCTTCTGGCAGCAATGCATCACATCACGGTCTGTTCAGTTTTCCTCTTGTCCTTCATCTTATGGCATTAGCTGCATCGACACTAAAAGCTTTGTTTGTCTGCAGAGCTCAGTGTGAATGTGGTTTACAGGTGCCAGATCTTGGCAGCTGGGAGCCCTCGGGTCCACTAATGGGATGAACAGAGAGCTGGGGGTCTTCAGCAGCTCTGACAAGTGAAATGAGCTCTCAGGTCTGGAATTGCACCAGTGGCCATTCGAGTTGCAGTGGAAAAACTCCCATCTCTGCTTGCGTTGCACTTTTCGCTGGGAGCCCGGAGCTGCCTTGGTATGTCGGCGCCTCCAGCTGTAGATGACTAAATGGAGCTGTGTGGGCTGCTGCCTGTCCAGCCGGACAGTCCCTGCTATCTCTTCCCATAAACACTGGAGCCTTTGTCTCTGGCCTTATCGTGGCCCTGCCATCACAGAGCCCTTTCTGTGCTCTCCCCCCAGCACAGGCCTCTGTGTTCGGGGGTCTTTTCTTCAGCTGCTCTTTGTCTCCGGGTGTTTATTGTGCCTGCTGCAGAGCCTGTTTGTTTGGGAGAGAGGAGGAGGGGCTCCTGTTTGTGTGGGGTTTATAAACCTAGTGCATTCTTCAAAAGAGATGCTGAGCAAACTGGGTGGTGTTAATATTAACCCTTCACTGCACCGAGAATTTCCTGAGTGTGAAAAATGCTGTGGGAGGGTTATGAAGTTGCTTGCTGTGTAAGGCAGGGAGTTTGCTCCCCCTTTGGTCTTAACTGCCCTCTGATTTTCTGTGAGTGCTGCACATGTGTATCAGCAAAGAGATCATGCAAAATGTGGGGAGATGTAATTGATTCTAGGATTTCCCCCCAGAATCCTTCTGGAACTTATGTTTCTTGCAAACAGTTGCTTACTAGCCCTTTCTGTTTGCATAAGTGTCCTGTCTGTCCTGTTTATGTGGCTACATCAGATGATATCTCTTTATTGTACCATAACTCAAGACTTTAGGGCTTTTCCTTCTGAGTAAGGAATTTCTTAAATTCATAGTGTTGTCACTTGTAGCGGCCTCCCCTTTGAACCAGCTGCTTTTTTTTAACCAGCTTCTTAATACGTTCATGGTTAGGATGGCTCTTATTGTTTCTTCAGTACTGATGGTCCCATATTCCAAAAAAGAGCTTTGGAAGATGACAGTTGGCTTCTCAGAAACTTTACTTCCCTTGTAATCACATAATGCTTTGCTGTTAAGTTGGTTGGAAAAACCACCCCCAAAACCCACCAAAACCAAACAGAACAGCATCAACTTTTTAACCTCCTTTTGCTCTTCCTTTGTAAGATGATGGGAATTTATAACACGAAAAGTCTCTTGTCCGTCTCTGCGAGAAGCTGCAGCAACACAATTGTCCTTGTTAGAAGTGTCAGGAGACAGTTCTGTATTTCACTGAACCTGCAGTCAACATAAGACCTGTTTATGAAGATCTGCATAAATGGAGTATAATGCAAATACATTAGCTTCATGCGCGATAAAATATTCATGTGTGATAAAAATACATTTTTTCAAAGATGGTATCTTTTCTTAAGTTACTGAACTTTTCCCCAGGAATTAATAGATTTAAATTCAGCATTTCACAAAGCAGCATAAATAATATTTTTTTTATTTTCAAATAATTAATGTCCTGGTATTGAGGATTGCAGTTCATGTATTGCAGCATCTCAATATTATATTATACTGGGAAAAAGTTCAGCAGATTGTTCCTTTGCGGGGGGTAGGAGAGGAAGAAATGCAAAATAATACAAGCCTTTGAAACGTGAATCCACACACTGTCATGACTAAACCTATTCAAACACTCAGGTGTTTTTTCCAAGGCTGCTCTAGTGTTGTTGTCCTATGACTTGTTTTCTTTATGAACTAATTAAATTTGCCTCATCTCTTTCTCTTCAAGGAACAGTTTCAGCTGCAAAGCGCACAGGTATTCCAGCACCCCGGGAAATATCATCGTCTGTATCCAGAGAGAGAGCTGTATTGCGTGGTCAGGCCAATACTAGGAAAACACAACCCAGCCCCACCTCTTCTGGAACACTGACTCCTACCAAACACGTGCGCCCTTCTAGCAAGTCCAAGCAAGAGAATGAAACTGGTGACAAGGCTGTTCTGGAATCTCAGGTTAAAGAACTCCTGGCAGAAGCAAAAACAAAAGATTCTGAAATTACCAAACTCCGTTGTGAACTGAAGAAATGCAAAGAGAAGGGGTCACTTAATGCTGAAGGAATGGGTGCTTCCAACCAAAATTTAGAAACAGTATCACCTGTTGACATAGATCCATTAATATGGACCCTTCAGGAAAAAAACAGGACTTTTCAAAAAGAGCTTGCTAGCCTGGGAGAGGAAAATCGTGTTTTGAAAGAAAAATTGCTTTATTTAGAGAACTCTCCCCTCTCGGACACAACAACCAGCAGTGGAGGTGACAGCAGCCTCCCAACCCCAACTACCCAAGAATCCAGTTTTGGAAGCCCATCAAAAAATAAGTCAAGAAGTGAAGTGGATGAGCACAGGCAGCGTGTGAATGGGGGTGCACTGCGCAATTCAGGTTCTTCCAGCAGTGATGTAACTAAAGCTTCCTTGTCACCCGATGCATCCGATTTTGAACATATAGCAGATGTACCTTCCAGGCCAACGTCCTCCAACAGCAACCACTTCAAAGGTTCCAAATGCTCCACTACAGGAAGTTCTCCAAACAATGTTAGTGACCTTTCTGTTGCATCGCTTACAGAGAGAATACAAAAAATGGAGGAGAATCACCACAGCACAGCAGAAGAATTACAAGCCACTTTGCAGGAGCTGTCGGATCAGCAGCAAATGGTGCAGGAGCTGACAACAGAAAATGAGAAGCTAGTGGAAGAGAAAGCTCTCCTGGAAACTTCCTTTCGTCAACATAGGGATAAAGCAGAACAGCTGAGCCAAGAAAATGAGAAGCTAATGACTCTCCTTCAAGAGCGATCCAAGAATGAAGAAAGCAGAGCTCAGGAGGGGAAAGTCCTTGAACTGGAACAGAAATGTGCAGAAGTTCTTGAAAAAGCACAATTTGAAAGAGAGAAATTGCTCAACATTCAGCAACAGTTAACCAGCAGCCTACGAAGCTTAGAAAGGGAGCATCAAGATGCCCAGCAGGTGATTAAAAGCTTGAGAGAAGAAAATGAGAAGCTGCTTAAACTTCTAGAAATGGAACAGCAGAGCAACAGCACAGTGGCAAAAACTCTGGAGGACTGTAAAATTGCCTTAGAAGGTCTAAAAATTGAGAATGGCTCTCTCAAAACTCAGTTAGAGAGTGAGAAACAAAAGGCTGCAGAAATCAATGCGATGGGGTGTACTACTGACAACTCTGAGGTGCAAGAGATGCTGAAAGTAGCTCATGCAGAAAAGGACCAGTTAGAAGCATCTTGCACTGAGCTTAAACAAGAGCTGCTGAAAGCAAACAGTGAACTGAAGCACATTCAGGGTCTGCTATCTAAGGTAAAGCAGTAACAGCTGTAAAATATAATGGTTGTTTGTCTGTCCTTCCATAAATAGGTAATTGTTGGTCTTTAGAGTGTTATTGAGCTGTTGATTATAAGTTTCCAGGATTTAAGTGGCATGAATTAGTTTTGAATGGAAACTGGAGTCTTATGATACTGTCAGTTTCTGCTGCTATATGCGTATTTTTCCAAGAATAACTGTTAGCATAGCTGCATTTATAAATTCAAAACTAATTTCGCCTAGTATCTTCTGTAGAATTTACTATGGTAATTCATAGTATTGTGTTTATAAAAATTGGAGCAAAGAACAGGTCAATAAAAGATTACTTGGATATTATGTGAACAAATATTAGTGAAAATTTCTTGGTAATCCAGATGGAGAGAAGAAAATGAGTAGTTAGCAGTGAATTTTAAATTCTGAATAATTAATCATGATTAATTAGTAGTGAGCTATAGGTGTCATTGGTCCTAAGAATGCAAGGACACGAGCTAATGCTCAGAGAAGCTGACATTTACAGCAGCATGACTAATGATGCATGGTCAAGCTCCGGATGAGATTATTTTCATTCTGGTTTAGAATAGGTAAAGTAATGGCAAAAAAATATTATTTTTTTTTTTAAGAACAGTTTTTCTCTCCTCATCTTGTAGCTTTGCTCCAAGCAAGCTTAAGTCAGTTACTGTTTCTGTTTTCTGTGTGATCCTGAATATTCAGAAGAGAGCTGCAATGTGAAGTGTCATGGAACAAGTGTTACTAAAGCACAAGCCAGTGATTATTCTGCTGCAGAAAGAATGATAGTCAGTGTGTGCAGCCTTTCCTGTACGGGGAAGAGATCATGAGAAGAATGGTAAAACTGGCTAGTTGCAGAGGAAGAAAGCATTGCCAAAAAGCACCTCTGTGATTTGAGTGATCTGGAGAATCCAGATGTCCTTTCAGCTTAAATAAGTGACCACAGCAAATGCAGTTATTAGAAGAAGCTCCCAAGTGCTTACAGGAGCTGCAGTTTATGAAGGATAAATGAAAAACTGCTGAGGGCTCAGACGCTCTACCAAACTTCTAGTGCTTGGTTTGGAAACCACAGATTTCCTTCTTTTTTACTCTTCCTTTCCCTCAAATTAAGCTGTTTTGAATCGCTGGCTATTTGTGACACCCAAACAAGACCACAGGCTTCTGTAAGGCTGCCCTTCAGTCAGGCTGTGCCAGTGTTGCTCGCTGAATTGGCAGCCTGCACTTTGCTTTTCCATAACTTGTTCATACTCAGATTTCCCCCCAGACCTGGAAGCATTGATCTGTGGGCCTGAGCCAACAAACTGAAGTGCAGCAGATTCCCCCTTGAGTCGTTCCAGATGTCCTATAGCCAGAAATACTTATCTGCAGTAGCTAGCTGTACTATGTATGTTTTCACAATCCATTGACAATGCATATGGTGAAAGCAGCAAAATTGTTAATGTGGACGAACTGATTGTCGTGTTGGCCTTAAGGCAGTGATATCACTCTCATAATGTGATACATAAATAGATGGGGAGCTTTCCAGGAATACAGTTCCTCTCTGTTCATTACCTGCAGAGATTGGTTTGGAATTACTGTCATTGTATAGAAAACTTAATTTCCTTTGTAGCATCTTATTTTATTATCTTTATTACCAGGGAAGAAAACTGACATTCATAGCTCATCTGTGTTTCCTGAAACTGTCTCATTCTCATTGAAACTCAGGTTATAGAATGCTTAAAACACAGGTTCAGTTCTTAAGTCCACGAGATGCCCAGTAAAATCTCAAAAGCGTGATATCTCTTAAGAAATAGACAGACTTGCAGCTTTCTTTCCTCCCTTCCAGGCTGAGAGTGAGTGTGGTCAGCTGAAGGAGGTGTGTGACCGGCAGGCTGAGCAACTGAGCAGAACCAGCCAGAAGCTGCAGGAAAAAACATCAGAGAATGAAGCAGATATAAAAAACCTGAAAGAGACCATTTTTGAGTTGGAGGACCAGGTGGAACAACATCGTGCTATAAAACTTCACAATAACCAGCTCATCAGTGACCTAGAAAGTAGGTGGAGCTCAAGAAAGGATTTAAGTGAACTTATTCAGGGGGCTCAGTTATGGCTGCAACAGTGAGGAGGAGGCATGTCCTGATCTGTGTGATGAGGGCCTCACTTTAGTGTTCCAATTTTGGCCAGTCCTTTCTGTCCACGCACAAAAGTCACACTATCTCTATAGCACTAACTGTTAAAAGAATTGGAGGCAGTCTCCCAGCCTCATTCTTCAGCGAAGGATGTATTGCCCATTCCAGAAGCTGGAATTGCTGGCCTTTTTAAGAGGTTTTAGGAAAAACCTCTGGTAAGCAATGCGAAGTCGGGATTGCTGTCACGCTGTGGAAAGGCTGCTGCCACCTGGTGGAACGAGCGGCTGCTCCGGGGTGGCTGTGTCGAGTAAGTGATCCTGCACATGTGGTTCTGTAGATGAAATCTGGTTTAATGCCTTAAAATAATGACCTGTTTCAGAGGTGTTTGAGTAACAAATTTACTGTTGGTTCCATTCCTGATCCATTGACAGAGTATCAATTTCAGTTTGGTCTATTTGGAAGTGAAACCAAATACGCTGTTCTGTCGTGTTTTCACTTTTCACACTTGCCCTTGTGTATTTAGTAGTGTCTTCCTTTTTTTTACTGTTCCCAGCTAAAGCAATGAAGCTGGAAGAACAAAAACAAGATACAGAGAGGCAGCTGAAGGCTCTGACTAAGCAAATGAAGGTAAGGCTTAGACTCCATGATAAAGCTAAGCTGAGCTTTCACTGCAGTACTGGATTTGAGAGAAGCATTGTATTTTTCTAGAAAAATTGTAGAAATTTCTTTCTACATCCTTCACTTTCCATTCTCTTCACTCATTTCTAGCTGTTGATTTGCCTGTGAAGGAAAAATATAATACATCCTTTGCAAATTACTTTTGCTTTTTCCACCTGTGAATTTCTGCTACTTTGGATCAGCTGTTCCTGCTTCATGAATTGTTGGTAGCAATGAGCTCTTCAGTGACAGTGCTTGTAGTAGTATCACCAGTCTGAATGGTCAATAGCTACAGAAAGAGCTTTGATGGTACTTTCTGTGTTGTAGCGAAGAGCTTAGCATCAGTTTCTTCTTTGGCAATCTCTTTGGTACTGTGTAGAGAGGTAAGTATTTAGTTTGACCTTGGCATCATCCTGAACTTGTGGTGAAATCCTGGTCACTTGTGAGCACTGAAAGAGAGATCAATAACTGAGTGCTCAGCTCAAGTAGATGCACTTTACAGCAAACAGTTTGGGGTTCTGATTGCTCTTTCTAGGAAGATACAGAAGAGTGGAGGCGTTTTCAAGCTGATCTGCAGACTGCCGTGGTTGTAGCCAATGATATTAAGTGTGAAGCCCAGCAGGAGCTCCGTGTTGTGAAGAGGAAGCTTCAGGAGGAAGAGGAGAAGAGTGCCAGACTGCAGAAGGAGCTGGATGAAGTGAAAGGCAGCAACAGGTTGGTTACTTACAAAGGCGAAGATTTGATCTCTGTGACTTCTAACATGCATGCAAACAGTGCTTTGTCAATAACTATTCATTGGCTTAGGTGTGCATGTTGTCTGTTTTTAACTCTTCTGACAGGTTTTGTTGTCTCTTATTCTAAGATGTTTCTGTTCTTTTTCTTTTTGGCGATCTAGTTCTGTCAATTAGGCCATGAAGGTTTTGATCAGCAAGTATTAAGTAATAACAGTTGCCAATATCCTCTTATAGCTTTGTTCTCAATATGGTATTCCATTGTGTTTTATTGCCTCCATAACTCTCTGTGCAGCTGTATTGAACCATCTGTGAAATGGTTGGTTGGCTACATACATTCAGTGGGACATCTAGAAGAAAATTACTCAATCTGAGAGCAGTCCAGGACTGTATATGTTCAAATTAAAATGAGGACTAGCTGGACTTCATTATTCTGCAGATCTGAGACTTGTTGACTGAGCGATCGATGCAAGTACTAGTATTCCTCATCTCGCCTCTCCTGTCCTTAATTTGAAACCTGTTATGTTATTGGCTGTGTTAAATGGTCTGGGCTGTGACCTGGCTTTGCGTTTAGCCCGGAAGTGACTTCATCATGCAATGGACCCTCCTGTGAAACAATTGCTGTAGTCTCAGCGGTTGGAGGGGGAACTGTAATTGTGAACCATTTGGAGATACACTCCAGCATGGTAAGCCGTACATGTGGGGCTTCCCTCGGTGGAAGCATGGTAAGAACAAAAGTGACTTTTACAACTGAATCTGGAACTAGTACAAATGCCTTACAATGTGGCTTTTATGCAGTGCGTGACTTTTTATGTACCACCTTTCATTCCAAAAATCATAGTATAATTGATTCTCCTAAGTAGGAAGAGATGGAAAAACAAAAGGTATATTAGAAGGAAGAAGCAAAATTTCTACAGACAGTGCTCTACTGGTTTTTTGCACTGACACAGAGCCAGCAGAGCTGCAGTGATGAAAACTTATACAGGGGGAGCAACGAGACAAAATAACACAAACAGCGGTACTGTTTACTGAAAATGTGTGCCGTGTTAATTTTGCTCTTCTAGAGTTTTCCATTTAATCTCTCTCCTAGTAGATTCATGGCCACTGGTAGAACAGCAACAGGAACATGGTGAATCCTGTCACTTCTTTCAGGTGGAGTAACAGTCCAGTTCTGTGTTGCACATATTTGCTCACTGTTTTCCATTCAGCAGTTCTCACAGCAGCTGTACAGTAGATGGGAGTAAAAAGATGGGAGGGTTTTTGTGCGGAGGTGTATCCAGAATTCCTGGGTTGAAGGAACAGAAATACTCATTTTCAGAAAAATAAAGGAAAGTGTTTAAGCTCCAATTTCATTATCGGAGTCCCCAGTGGATGCAAAGAAAAGCTCTTACAGACTATGTATTCAGACAAAATGATTACCAGACAGTACTTAAGTTCTGGGGTCTGTTTCCATTCCTAATTTGCTCTTAATGAAATTTCTCTTGTTTAGAGTGAGGTCCATATATAGGGGCAGAAATCATATACTTGTAGTTTCCCCTCTTTATTCTTTTGGTTTTTAAGAAGATGTATTTGATAATACGTAAACTGAATAGAAGATGACTTGCTAACTTGCAGACTGAGATATTTATCTTCCAATAACGTGGCTGCATTGTAAGCTTTTTGGCATAAGAAGTCTGAGCTGTAAATACTGCTTTTGAAATTGGATCCCCAGAATCCATACATACGTAGTTCCAGAAGAAGGTATTCAGACATGTATTTCAGTCAGTTTTGGCATTTGTCTCTCCCTCTCCTTCACATACATACAGATATATGTCTGTCTTTGCGCCATGTTGACTATCTGTATAGCTTGCTTTGAGTATTGCATTGGTCATGGAGCCAGATATACTGTCTGCAGTGGGCAATATTTATTCTCTTTCAAAGACAGATGATGAGACCAAATTTTGCATCTGTCAATTTAAGTATAACTAATATGACTCTCACTGTCCATGCAGAGAGTGCAAAATTTCTGTACTGAGTGGTAATGAAGGCTATGTAAGTCATTGTCTGAACAAACCAGTGATCAACAGCCAAACACTGAAATATTGAAACTGTGCTGACCTATAAGACAAATTCGTGAAGTCGCCAAAGCTCCTGCTGAGAGCTAGTTCTACACTCCCAGTTATTTCTGCATTCCGGAGGTCACTGTCTTCCCCAGCACCTCAGCTTCTTTCACCCAGAAAGTTCTGGGGATATTCTCATTGTTGCTTTTAGTCAGCTTTCACAAATGCTACTGCTTAGATTTGGCAGTAGGTTTTGGTACCTGCGGTGACTTTTAATGCGTGTTCAGCACTGGTGGAAAGTTTGTAGCATGATAATGTAACACAGTCTGTAAAGTATTCTTCGTATGTGCTAATGCTGAGCAGCTGTGCACTTAGCTGAACATCTGACAGTCCCTAGTGAAAGTTTCCTTTCTGATTTTTGAGCTCTGATTGGAAAAAGTACCTTCCAAATGGCTTGCTACTCAAAGGTTTTTGGCAAAATCTCAGCCATCTCTTGAAGGTCATTAGACTCCACCTCATAAATTGATCTTGAAGCCAATTTATCTCCGACAACTTCCTGCCATTTTAATGTTTGCCTGTGGCTGCCTGAGTTCCTGCCTCCAAGTTTGATTTCACTGTTACATTCCTCTAATCAGACAAAAAGTCATTTTTGGTTCAGGAACAACCAAAGAACATGCAGAAAAAATCCTGATGAGGTCATCAGAGTTCATCTGAATGAAGGTAAGAGCCTCCCAAAGGCATCTTTAACACAGATTAAATGTCTAATTCTATGATTGAGAGTGGGGGGAGGTTTGACCAGCATCAAACAAATGGAATAAGGAGGAGAGGAGTTAACTTGTCCCAAGTTAGTACTGGTTGAAACCTACAAACTGATTAACCCATGTTTCAGACAGTCTTCTATGATATTTTACATCCTAATTAATGTTATTTCTCTGCAGTAAAATGCAAAAGCTTACAATCCACTGTTGTGTATCTGTCTCCTCACAGGTGGTTAAAATTGAAATGATATAGCCTTCATCCTTGGAGGTTTTCAAGACCAGACAGGATAAGATGCTGAGTAACCTGGTCTGACCTCATAGCTGACCCTGCTTTGAACAGGAAGTTGGACCAGGTGACTTCCTGAGGTCCCTTCCAACCTGAATTATGCTGTGATCCTGTATCAAGTTTCATCTTTTCAGAACACTCACCTTGGAAAGAAATTAATTTGTGTAGCTGTTCTAGGATCAAATATTTAACTGTTGGAAAAAAATTGCTATATTCAGTTTGTAACACAAAGGAAGACAGTTATTGCTGAAAGTACCCAAATTACGGGCGGCCCTTTTTGGCTTCATTGCATGCCCATTTCCAAGCCTTTCTGGCAATACACTGTTTAGCAGCAGTGAAAGTTTCAAGGCCTTTGACTCTTTCCGTTCAAGTTCTTAAAATTATTTTAGCACTATAACATTATGTGCCTTGAACCAAGAACATGAAGGGAAGACAGTTGGGCTGAGAGTAGTACTCAGAAAACAGAGAAATTTTATCTGTAATTAAATGAGCGACTTCTTAGAATAATAAAAAAAACTAACCAAATCTTCAAACGGAAGCCTAAAGTGAAGACTGTGATGTATCCCACTAATTTGCTTCTGTTCTTCCTCCTAAAGTCTCAAATGCCACAGCATGGCAGTGTTACCTGCTTTTTCTCCTGGAAATAAGCTTGTACTCTATATGTATTAAACCCTGCTGTCAGTCTGTATGTGCTGATGTGCTGCTCATTTGTGCCTGTGTTTTGCAGCTGTTCTGTCTTATAGAGGTCTAATAGTTCATTCTGTACTCACTGGAAGTCAGCAAACTAGAATGTCAGAGCAGGGTCCTGGAAGTATTGTTTGTTTGCTCTAGTTAGTGAGTTCTCAGAGTTGGATTTTTTCAACACTGAATGGAGATGATTCCATCCCTTTTGGTGTAAAGACCCTGAAACAGAAACGCTGAGGCAGAGCAACTCTAGTTGCCTGGAATGGTTCATGTCCATCCATTTCGAATGAATAGTCCTAAATGATTAGAGGAGAGGAAAGCCAGGAACATGACCATCCCTGTCCTTTGAAATTGGTTCCTTGGCTTTAAATACTTTTTTTTTCTTATCGGAGCAACACATGTTTTTTTTTCTCTGTATTTTGTGGTGGTGTTTGCTCATCACGTCCCAAAGCTGAGTTAGTGGAGTGTTAAGGGACTCCTTCAACTGTCCTAGCAATACCATCAGCAGTTTCCCCCCTCCCCCTTTATTTAGTGATGATGTGATGATTAACTGTAAAATGGAGCTGTAACTCAGGATGGGCCTTGTATTGCTACTTATAACTTCCCTGATTGTATCTCCATAGGTGCCTGATGTCTACCAGCTAACGCAGCCCTGAATGGATGTATAGCCAGGCCTGTGAGACACTGCAGGACATACCTTCGACTTGCAGCTGAAAAAGGGAAGTTTCAATTTGAGAAAACACCTCCAGTTTTTTACTGCCCTGCAAAAGTCAAGTGTATCACAAAGTGTGAATGCTGCTCAGGTCCACCTCCTCACCATGGGCATTTCTTTGTTTCAGAAGGCTTCTCTCTTCAGAAGACTCCATGAGGTGGAAGAAGTTCTGAATTAGTCTAAAGCCAACTAGGCCATAAGAAATAATCACAGAGATTTGGGGAACTGAAATAACTGAGGGCTTTTTTGGAGGAATGGGGGTATTTGCCCTGAAACAGAAATTCCACATGCCATTTTAAGCTTAAGCAAAAAATAAAACTGAGTGTGTTTGTCTAATTTGTAAAATCGAATGTACATACACATTAAATTCCCCATACAGTATTATATTTATAGATCTATGTGTGTGTCTAAATACATGTATGTGTACAGGTCAGTATGTACACATACACACACAAACTCAAGTGACAGATTACTGGAATCTAGCAGGAAAACTGAATAGAAACATGAAGCTATTTATTCAGTATCAGCTGCTTTGCTGGTTTCAGATTTTTAATATTATATTGACAAGGCACTCGCCACTGGGTGGCATGTCTGACTCAGTGTGTGTTAGGAGGTGGGATGGTGCCCAAGGAGCACGTTGTGCTGTGACTTTCACAGTGAATGTCCCATGTGAGGTTTGTTCTGGCTGTGAGAATTGCAGATGGAGAGATCAGAAGGAAAAGAAATGAATATACCAAGCCCCTAGTAAATATCCTCTTAGAAAGGAGTCTTTCTCATGCCCTTAACTTGCCTGAAGCATATGATGATCAGGGAGAACTTGCTGAAGTTCAGCTTTGCAGCTGGAGACACCTGGAGAGAGCTTTACTTGGATGCTAAGGAGAAACTCAGAAGTCAACACATCTACCAGGACATCATCAGGATCCAGGACTGGAATTTCATGTTCTGGCTGTGGGATTCCCGTCCTTTCCTCCTGGATGTGAAGACCTAGCAAGGGCCTGGTCTTGGAGCAGGCTGAGCTAGTAGAGAATTCTACGGGATGTCCTGGCTTTGGCGTGGCATTCACCTTTGTGCCGTGCTACTGGAGTGTATGCATATATGCACACTTGTGTTGCTTTTCTGTGCTGGCTGCTGTTGAATGTTGGCTTTTATGTTTAAGAAATATATAATGAAGTGCCAAATAAATGTTTAAGTGTCTAGAGTTGTCTGCTGCCTGCCCTTGGTCTCTCTTCTGTTCTGTGCATCAGTAGCTGTGTGTCTCTTTGTGTCCTTGGAGTTCAGGAGGATTCACAACAGTGGCAAGAATTGTGTCAAAGACTAGACTGCAGAGTAATTATTTCTGAAAATATGGTTCTGTGGTCCTAAGCCACCTGTAATAAAGAGGTCATCGGAGCAGTTTAGGAATTTCACAAACACTTCAAGGCTGTGGTTGCCAAAATCTGTACATTAAGCACAGAAAGACTTGCACCTTGTTGGTGGCCCACATATTTCAAACCTAGAAAACAAGGAGACAAACTCTTGCCATATGAGAAAAGCTCACTGCATCTACTTCCCTCACGAATGAATGAATGAAACTAGGCAGTGGTTTTGTGAAAAGGACTGCACATTTTAATTCCTCTGGCTGAAGTGTTCTGCTTCCTCCTGGAGCTGCTCCACTTAAGCCAGCTGCACTTGCAGCATTTGTCTGTAAGCCATTCATTTTTGTTTCAAGGAAAGCATACCGCAGTAGGTGACATTTTGTTCAAATACATCCTTTTTGTAGCAGAGCTTGCTTAGTCTTCTTGGATGGCCTAAGCTGAATAAATTCTGTGCACAAGGAGTCATTTTTGGTTTGAAGTTATGGCTCGTTGTTAACCTTTCTAAGTCATGTTCTCCTATACTGTCTTCCTGAATTAACTTGCTACTGCAAGTTAAGCCCTTACTCTTCTGCTTCTCTATTAAGAAACTGATGTACGTACGCATACTTGCATCCCCTTATCATACAGATTTTTCTCTTTAAAAATGGAAGGTACTTGCCAAATCTCATAACTCTCCATTGCTTGTTGGCTGGCATGTGTGGTTTTAGTTGAAGCAAATAGGTCTTGGCACTATTCTTCATACCTTTCATGCCAAGGTTTACAACATGAGACGCTTCAGTTTTCTGACGTGATTGTGTTCAATGTAGGAGATTGTTTCAGGGTGCGTTAGAAGCCTATTACAAATACACAGACTTCAGATTACAGTAAACATCCTAAAAAAATTTGAACTGGCACTTGAATCGTCATAGTTACTCTGTACAATGACAGAATAGTGGCATGTAATTTCTTGATGGACTTTTCTGTGGCATAGGGGCTGGTCTAATTACTCTAACTTTATTTAACATGTTTGCATCCTTTTACAATTAAAGGCTAGACTGAGAAGACTAGTCTGTGAGCTTTGAGCTGTTTTCAGAGTTAAATCCTAACCAATGAAATGATGGCTGCCTAGAGCATCCCTGTGACTTGCTTTATTCTCAAGATTTGCCAGTTGGTCTACAGGCATTTGCTATTCCTTTCTTACTCTGATAATACTCCACAAACCTTGTTACCTGGATAACTAGACAGAACTCTTGCATAGTGGCCTATTTAATTCTTGAAAGTGTAATGGATTGCATTGAGTTGGGTTGGTATCTTGAGGTAGAAAGCTATCCTTCCTCCATACTTCACTAGAAGCAGGACTCCTTTAGCTTTTGTGTTTTAGTATAACTAAAGTGCAGATGCTGTCACCTGTTGATTTGTTGTTTATGCTTTATTAAGCCATAGAAGCAAAAATTGAGGGTAGAACTTAAAGTTAGTCAGCAAAACACTGTCTCCCTTAGAGCTCAGTGATTTTTATCCAGTCTGCCTTTCCTCCTTATTGGATTAAATGGAGAATAGAATTGAAATGTCTTTTTCTCTAGCCATCTGCCTCTGAAGGCTCCCTTGCCACATAAGGAGCTTGAATGAATTAGGAAAGAAATAGCCAATGTCTGCTTAAAGACAGCACCTCCTTAAGCTCTGCCAAAAATAGAAACATGACTCATTCTTATTCTCCTATTTATTGACACCCTTTAGTCACTTGCATTTTGTCGACTGTGATGCTGAAAGGGAAAGAAAAAGACTCTGACTTCTATTTTTAGCTCAACAGAAGTTGTTCAACCCCATAGGCACTTTCTGGATGGAGTCCTCCAGCCTTCTGGTTTTGTGTTCGGATAGCTATTGGTGTCTACTGTACTTAAAGTAGGGAAGAAAAGTGGTAATACCTCAGAACCTGTAGATCAGAATGCATTTCTTAAGCGGCTAGAATTTCAGGAAAGTAAGGTATAAATACTCTCTTTTTACATGACTAGACTTTGTTGTTTAATTGCAGCTTTCCTAACTAAAACTAGGTAATTACACTCGAAGTCTACCTGAGAGCTACCAGGTAAGTATAGTGTCAGTGCTAAACAATGTCAGCCAGATCTGTAAAATGCATGGCTAGAAGCAACAGTTCTACTGTATGATTACATTTGCTGTTTAACAAAGCTGCGGACTTCCCTGTACTAATTCCTGTAAGTCCAGCACCTAATCTTGACTTCAAAATTTTTCAATGGAGTAACTTAGTGATCCTTTCTGTTAAAATATGAGCCTTATTTCTATTTTGAGTTTGTCTGTCTTCATTCCAGCCACTGAATTTTGGTATTCTTGTGTCTGCTAGGGTGAAGCACTTAACAGTTTTATTCCCCATATAGCTGCTTATGGATTGTGATTGAGGGTTTACTTGTTCAGTAAGTGGCTTTGTTGATAAGCTGTAAGAGTTGAGTTTTTGAAGTTTTTCGTTATGAAGTAATTTTCAGATAGAATTTTTATAGCTCTTACCTGAACCCTGTACAGTTATTTGTTTTCACTTGTGGCATTTTAACTGGTAATAGTTACTCCAGAAGTGGTCACGAAAAGTAAAAACATCAAGTGTAAAATAACATCTTTCTCTTTGGTTACTTTCCTCACTATACACTGAGGACCACAGTAGCCCGTTGGCCCCTGTGCTGTATTGAAAGCCCATCTTCAGGTAATTATCGATGATTACTCACGAGTCTCATCAAACTGCTTTTTTCTATGCTAATCCTCCATCCTGTGTGAGGATGGGGAATGGGGATGATATGGTTAACAGTGCAGAAAAGTTTTATTGACTCAATGATTTAATGTTTGACAGGCACTCCAAGAAAAGAACGTGAACATTCTGATGAGTGGTCCATGTTCTGGGCGTTACAATAAAAGATGTGCTTTATTGGATTTGTCTTACTACGTATGAAGAGCTTTAATCTCTGCTTGCAATTCCTGTTGCCACTGACTTTGATGTGGTTTCTGATTGCAGGCTGATAGCTGAAGAGGTAGAATCTCTAGAGGCAGACACAACCAACCGCTGGCAAGGAGTCTGCATTAGCAGAGCATCTCCCACACCGTCCGAATCTGCAGCCACTGTGAAGTCACTGATAAAATCCTTTGACTTAGGATGCTCAGGTATTTGAAAACTGTATTTTGTAGTAAATAATTTTTCTAGCAGTGAGCAGGTAATTTTTGCCATTTTGTGCTGCTGCTTGCTTCTTAATGGATGTTTTCTGTCAGTGCTTGATACGTAAATAGTATCTGTGGAATGTCATTACACCAGTGGTTTCCTGTTCTGACAAGAGGGAGATAGTTGGGTTTAAAATGCAAATGTTTCCACATTTTGCCTTGCAGGTGGCAGTGGACAAAATATCACGGTTCACAAGGTCCCCAGGAGCCCTCTAAGTGGAATTCCAGTGAGGACAGCCCCAGCAGCTGCTGTTTCCCCCATGCAGGTACAAGGAACTCTTTCTATCCTTGTAGTTTTAAAATGGGTAGATACAGTGTTTACTACAGTGTGGCGTAGCTTCAGCATGCCAACATGCATATGTTGATAAGGGGAAGGGGAAACTCATCTGTTTATTGCTGTGAAACATCAAATGCTGTAATACTAACAAAAAGGATCAAAGTGACTTTGACTTCAGCTTAGAGGTCTCAGTGGACGGATGTGACCTCTTTGGAATACAGTTCTGAACTTCAATCACTGTTGACCAGAAAATAGGTTTCGATTATTGGGAGAGCGTTACAGGAAACATCGTACTAAACTAGGTAGCTGGCATGTGACTTGAGAGACATGGGATAATAGGTTTCTATGATGTGTGCTCCCAGTTCTCCAGTAAGCTCATACAGTGCTGAATGAAGAGCTCTTATGATTTTGGTTTTTTCCTACTGAAGCATAACTGCTCTGGAATGTAGTACTTATGTCACTGCACCAGTCAATTAACTTCCTGTTAGCAATTTTCAAATCTGTAGTGCGATGTTAGTGGAAATATTGCCTTTGTGAACGATGGAGGAGCAAATGCACTGTGCTTCCTGATTTCCACGTGCTGAAGGTGGCATACCATCAGGCTGCTAACCTTTCCAGGCTAGAGAAGCCATTGTATGTGTTTTGAATGGGTAGTCACCAGACTTACAACAGGATACTCCTCTCTGAATCTGGGTAAAAAACAGTTGTGAGGCTAGGGTGCTTAGGTGAGTGTTTGGAAGAATCAGATGACTTTGAAAGACTACTAAACAAATGTGTGAGCACATTTCCTTCAAAGAATCAGCACAGGAATTTTAAAGTGTGGGATTAAACAGAGTTCTGGGAACCTTCTATTAATGCCTGGCTGAGGGGTTATTAATGCTGAAAACTGATGCTGGGGCTGCAGAGGCAAGAATCCTTCCAACTTAGGATTTGGGGTGCTGGGCACAGAGGCAGGGTTAGGAACAGCCATTTTTACTTTGGGTCTGTGACATTAGATTATGTTCGGCAAGAGAAAAAATGGTCCAAATAGAAATGTGAAATAATTCAGGAACCAATATATTACCAGCTAAAAATATTGTCCGTTTGTCCTTTTATTTTTCACAACCATTTATCCAGCTCTAGGTACAGCAGATGCCTTGTGGAAAGGTTTCTGTATCCCTACACCTGCTTTGTGGTCTTGAAATAGCAGAAACATCTTTCTGCTTGCCTGTTTAAGCATCGTGGATAATATTTTTCAATTGTTTTGTATGTTTGTTTGTTTCACAGAGATTGTTTTGTATGTTTATTTGTTTCACAGAGACATTCTGTTTATAATAATGCCAAGCCAGCCAGCAAGGGTGTTGCCAGACATACAGATCTTTCAGACCTTCCTCTTGCAGGTAGGTTGCAGTGAACATACAAATGTTGCCTCTTTTCAGTAGCAAAAGCTTGTCATTCACTGTTGGCCTCCGCCTGGGCCATTTTTCCCCTTCTCATATGGTCAAAGCAAACATGAAAAAGTGTCTTCAGAGTCTTTGTTTTAGAGAGTTTATTAATTTTGTCGTGTTTCCATTCCCATCTTGACAGTAGCCTTAAAAAACTGAAAAATAGCTCATTTATTACGGTTTGCCAACACAAACGTGCCGCCTTTATTCCAGAGTATCCATGGCACCTCTCTAATCCATGCTGTGGAACTGGAGAGGATTGGATTTTGTTCAACATGTATCTATCTGGAACAACTCCAAAGCACTGTCTTTTGAGGGTTTATTTGTTTTTAAATTGAGCTTCATTTGAAATACATCAAACATTTCAAATACCGATGTGACTGTTTTAGGAGCAGTCATATTTGGTCTTGAAATAGTTTGTTTTGGGAGTTCTCAGGAGATGCATTTGTTTTTATTTCACACTTTGCTTTTGTTCTCTTGTCATTTAATATTCTTTTCTACCAGTGTTTGTTTCCCATTTTCTCTAGGGCCCTTTATTTTGATTATCTAGTCCTGAATGTGTTTGTTGCATTGGAATCAAAGCTACTAACAACAGATTATTGAATTTTTAAGATGAAATATTATATTCCTGTAGTGAAACCTCAGTGAAACTGCAGGGAGGGACAAAAAAAAAATCAGTCACAACTTCTTCATTAGTAGACTGGATTTTCTGCAAGAGTTTTCTGGTATAAGAGAGAAATTAGAACCTGTCTTCATTTTTAGATTCTTCAGATAATCTTTTAAGCTTCCCATTCCGTCATTCAAAAATGATGAGATAGTGGATCTGAACAGCAAAACAGATTATAGGGTAGATGGCAGCATAAACAAATAATATCATGTCTGTGCTACTGGCTTCTTCAGGAGTAAATGCTAAGCAAGTGGAAGTTATCAGTGGAACAGGCAGAGTTTACTTCTTTGTATCAGTTGGTTTCCAAAAAATGTCTTGCATGAGACTATACTGTGATCCTAAACAGAACATAAGACCTTTTTAATAGCTACCACTTTACTGCAGAGTGAAGTAATCTGTCAAATGTGTAATATAATGCCAGTCCTTAATAATAAATATCCTACCTCAGGCCAGGGATAATTGCTGTTATTACCCATAGACAATTGTTCTGTGAAAATCCGTTGAAATCAACAGATACTTTATTATCCATTGTATGGTAAAAATTTATGGTTGCTTATCTAACAAGTTCCTGTATTTACAGCTTCTCTTTGTACCTGGGTTTAATTTAGTTCCAGTAATCCACAGCAAAGGCTTACTCACTGTAAAGTGGTAATAGCTCTGGTTCCAATCTAAATAATCCTAGAAGGCAGTTGATCCAAGCCCTGTGCAAACAACACTGAATTAAAAAATATCCCCAAGGAAATTCAGAGTGAAGTAGTCTCCACAATAATAATCTTCTGGCTGATTCCATCTGACCAGTATCACAGCAGGATGAAGTGCTTAATATGACCCAAATGTTGCATCGTAGAAGAGGAGAATGGATTACTTCGCAGAGAATGCTGATCTTTGGTTATGATCTTTTCATTTAGAATCAGAGGTTTACTGGTACTGTCCTGGAGTCTCTAGCAGCCAGAAATAAGCCAAAGGAAGTACGTTACTCATGCAAGTGAGACTCAAAGTACAAAACTGGATACTGTTAACTTGCACTACTTCAGGCACTACTGTGCAATTCCAGCCAGTAACCACAAAGTTTCTTTAAATAGCGCAAATAGATAGTGCTAAAGGAATGTGATTTTTCTTTAATCATGTTGCATATTTTTTCTTACTATTATTATCCTGTTTCTCTTTCCAAATGTCTCCTAATAGGCCCTCATCTTCTTCCTCTTTTCTTCCTAGTCAGAATCTTCCAATAGCCTTTATTCCTGTCTGGGATCCTTCTTTCTCCTTTTCTTTTTCTCTGCTGTGCATGAATGCATCCCGAGTGATTGACACAGCACTTCGTAATGAGACCATGCTGTTAGCCAGTCCAAATTATGTTAATGACAATTGAATAGTGCTTTTTTTCTCTATCTTTACAGACTAGTGAGAAATCTGCATTCTGCTTCATAATGTTTGGATTTTGTTTATTGATGTGCCTTTTGCAGTAGATCTGTTTCTCTAAGCAGAATATTCTTAAGTTTAAAATGGTTCCAAGAATCATTTATTCGTTGCCTGTCTGGTGTGTCTGTTTACACTTGAGACAATTCCCCATAAATCTAACATTATGAGGAGCTATAATAGTCATATACATTTGGAATATATAGTGGAAAAACAACAAAAAACTTTTTAAAAGTATGCTGTGTGCTATTTTTTGTCTGTTACGGGTTTACGGTGCACACAAAGAAGGGACAGGTGAGTGGAAGGAAGGATGACCCTGACTGAACAAGGTGTATGCAATCTCATGTAACAAAGCTTTGCCAACAATCAAGCTGCTGGAAAGGAGACAGTCTCCTGGGACTGGATTCTGTCCTTTCCCATCTGGACTTCTTAATAGATAGAAACTTAGCAGCCCTTTATGCTGTGGAAATAAAGTGCAGAAATGCCTATAGCTCTTGGCAGCTGCAAATACTAATTTAGCCTTAGGCAATTGAGGAGCCAGAGCAAGGGCAGCTGCATGCCTGTTGGAGGGATGTATTTATCTGGCAACTGCTGATAGACACCCCCCAGTTACTGCTGAAAATAAATTTAGGACTGATTCGATGATAATAGCCTTGCTGAAGCTGAGATAAGAAGGAATTCACACCTCTAGGTGATATGGCATCAGTTGATAATTAACATAGGGAAGTAACTGAAAAGGAGGAGAAAAAGCTGTGTTCCACATTCTGTTAACTTCTGCTAACAGCTCATAATGTGCTGGCCATAGATCCTGGCTTGCTGACAGTTTGTCTACAGAAACGAAGCAGCCAACTTTCCCTGTGTTATACATTGTTCTACTTCATGACTGATATGCATGGGGAGATAATTTGATTTCTATAATCTCTTTCGCTTCTCTTCAAAAACTTATCAACATTGGATTCTGCGGCTGCTAATTTCATTAATTTTATATATATAAATGTCATTATATATATGTCATAATATATATGTATAATATATACATCTATATATATGTCATAATATATATGAAATACATAATATGTGTAATAAAAATATAGATGCATCTGCTATGAACATATTGAGACTTCCCAAAGTTCTGTCAGATAGGACGCCAAGTATTGTGTGAGAAGTGCCTTTTACTGCTGCCTTGAGCTGGGCTTGCATTCAGGAGGCAGGAGGCTTTCTTGTTACAAGTCTGCTAATGGCCGAAAAGAAATTACTGTACTAGGGCTGGTCAGTCATCTGGTGATCAGCTTTTGAACCTTAAGACTGTAGATTTTGGTATTTCCCCTCATTCACCTGAGGTCCCTACCCCCCAGCAGGAGTATCAATCACAGGAAACCAGGCGGTCTGTACTGTTGAAATCATCAAAGCCGTTCCTTGTTATGATCACCTCTAATCTGCTCAAGGTTTCCTAGCCCCATGTGTATTTAATGAACAAATGAGTACATTTGTTTCGAATCAAAACAACAGACTACATATTATGTGCTGGGTGGCAGGACAGTGATTAATCAAATTCCTCAGACTGCAAACTGACAGCTTTTTTTTTAATTCCCACAGAGCTTCTGAAGGGGAGAAATGAAGAGCTGAAACCAGACCATTACCTCCGTAAAAGCCCCTCCCTGGAATCCCTGAGCAAACCCCCTATGACCTTCAGCAGCAGAATGCTTACCTCTGCCCCCAGCAGCTTGAAACCCCAAAGCAAACTAAGGTACCAACTCAGCTTCCTGGGAAAAACAGCGCACCGGAAAGACTGACAGCATTACCTGGCACCGAGATGAGTGTTCTGATCTGGTGGACCCCTGTGTCCAGTGGAAACTCTGCTGGCTAGTCTGTCCAGCTCAGAATTACCAGGCTGTGTCAGATCCAGATACCAAAATTCAGATTATAATAACCACAGTTATCTGTAAGATGAGCTGTCGTGACAAAATGAGGATAGCAAGCTTTCAGGAGCCCCTAAGTTGCATACAAAAATTCCATCATGTGTGCAAGTGGTCAACCCTCATTATATTGGAGCTAAAAACTAAAAGCTTTGAGGTCTAAGGGAAAGCTGGACACATGATTTTCTTCTGTCTTGAGAAAAAACATATGTATTTTCCTCTGATCTCCACCATTATTTCCAACAGTAGAAGCTGTAGGGTGGAGACAATACAGATGTTTTGATTGTTGACCTTTAACTGTCCTCGAGGTCTTGACTGAAATACAGCTTCCATTTTTTTCATTTTGTTCAAGAACTCATTCTACTGCAGCTTAATTGGATGGGAATTTTGTGTTACAGATTCTTTAGATAGTTTCTTTCAATTCTGCACCCTAAATCCTAGTTTTCAGTATGTAAAGCAAAGAGGTTACTTGAAAATTTTGTAAGTAAAGCTGATGAGAATAATATCAGAAGTGCTGGGTTAACACGTGCCTTTGAATATCCATAGGTTGCTGCTTTTTCAGCTCTTTGTTTGCTGTGATACCAGCTGAATTTGTCTCACCCAGAGGCAAATACAGAATGCAAGCTCTGAAGCTATTATGGTTTGGTTTACTTTTATGTTCTGTGCTGCCCTGCTACTTTGTCAGACAGATATTATTTGCACACTGGTAAAAAATAAGAGACTTAAAGCACATTTATTTTCTCTCTTGTGCTTCCATGGATTAGTGTGGAGAGAAAGGACCCGCTGGCAGCCCTGGCTCGGGAGTATGGTGGCTCAAAGAGGAATGCTCTATTGAAATGGTGCCAAAAGAAGACTGAAGGTTACCAGGTAAGGGAATAGGTACATCCTTACTTTTCTCTGGAGAGTAATTCATCACTTTCTTATAGTTCAAAGAAATATGTGTATTTTAGTCTGCTGGTTTTTTGCGTGTTTACTCCTACTAGGTGCTTCCATCCTTTTCCTTCTGATTTAACACTGCAGTCCCCAATATTACATTGTCATAAGCAATTCATATACAAAACACAAAATATGCATCAAAGGTCACTGATGGTGAGAAACAGAGTGTATTTGCACAGCAGCTTCAATCTGGCATCAGTTTTTGAAATTACATTCTAGTATTATTTTCTGTAGGCTTCTGTGGGTGACATGCTATTGTGAGAGTGTTTACATTGGTCATTTTTGTAAAACCAAAGAAATATTTCTTTGTGTGGCCTTGACTGAATGAAGTCTGCAGCTTGGGGCCCTGTTCTTTCTAATCTGCTGCAGTTTAACAGGATTTTACAAAGCGAGTTTGAGAGAGCTTGAGAATGACAATCCCTCTGCAAAGAAATGAGACACTGTTAAACAGGTGTAATGACTTGTCTAGCTCTTGTATGGCCATTGCTGTGCTTGTCAAGCTCTGGCTCGTGTTTTCAGCTGAGTTAGGCCTTTGGTTCTGCTTGTGAGCTGTAGAAGGCAAATGTAGACAACAGTTCATCCTGTGATATATGCTGGGTGTGTGGGATAGTCTTGGTTTGATATAAAGTTGAGATTTTTCTTTCTTAAGAATAATATTGTTTGTTACTTAGCAGAGGACAAAAGCAGTTATCACCACATGATATGCACCCCTGGAGCAAGTCTTTAATAAAAGCAGAGTCTATCTTTTAAAGTAAATAATAAAATATGTTTTTTCTTCACAACCAGCTCTTTATGAAGCATTAGCTGCAGGGTGCAGAAGTCTGGAACAAAAGACAGTAGCTTTCCCTTTAAGTAAACCGACCTATAAAAGTTTGAGTCATTTCTCAGCACCGGCATATTCATCTTGCTTGCACAGTTTCACAGAAGGGCAGGTGTCAGGGAAAGCTCCTGACTTTAGACACACCTTAGAAAGAATAAAGCCAGGATTCAGGGTTAGCGTTTAGCCTCCAGTTCTGTGATACTGCCTAGAAGGCTACACTGCTGTCCCCTGAAATTGTATGCTTTAGGTGGTGTTGTTTTATATCTCATTTACTAAAATTCTCCTGGTCTTGGATTTGAAGGTGTGGGGAAACATTCCCATCCAGTCCTCAGAAAATGATTCATGAAATACAGCTTTTCCAAGTCTAACTTCTGTTAAGCTAGCAAACCCATCTCTTGAGTAACACTGTCGCCTGACAGTGTTGCGCTTTTTGGTTTCAAATGGCACATAGGATGAGCTTCCTCCACTTCTCTTAAAACAGTCTAACTCCAAATTCACTGTTAAGAAGTGTTCTCTGAGAGTCAGCCTGTAGTTTTCTTTTCCTGATTACATCCAAGTTGGACTAAATGTATTGCTTTTAGAAATTATGTGGCTTTGCAAATAGAGGCCTGTTCCAATTCTGTAGGTACCAGACTGGCACCAAGAGTATTCCCTCTGTGGCATAATAGAGTTTTGTTTTTCTGAGCTGAACTCAAGTAGTGGAGTGAACCGTGTATCGGATAGCAGGCCACCTGGGAGATATGCAAGGCAATCTGTGTCTATTTGTTTTTCCTTTTAGTATTAGTCTCTGGAGGAAAGTATGTCCCTGCTTCAGAGGACAGTGGAAGTCTTTCCTTTATATATGGCTGCTGGAGTGTTGCGGCTACGTGACTCTCCAGATCATATTTCAGAAAAAGCTTTGTCGTTTTGGTTCCTGCTCTGATGAGGCTCTTGTTCTGTGTTGGTGGCTGTCCTCTGGTTTTACTCTTTCTAAAGCAGCAGAATGAGCTTTCAGCAGTTCTTGAGAACAAGTGCGTACAGCACTGACAAACACTGCATAATCCAGGAGTCTGAGAAGTTTATACTGTGATGTAGTGGGGGGCCTTATTGCCCAGAGTGTAAGATCTCAGGGCAGAAATTAGTCAGATGAACCAAAGGACAAATGCTATATTGATTTATGGTCAGAGTCTTGCCTCTCTATCTTCACTACTTCATTTAGAGGCATTATCTCTTGGATATCCTTCCTCAGATTCCCATGGCGCTCTTTGCGGTGCATTCAGTAAGTCTTCTTGAATTTGCTTTTCCCAGACCCTTGCACTCTTACGATAAGGCTGATATTAAGCTCCACAGGGGGGTTTTATCATTCTTAAGTACAAAGAACTGGAGTGGAGTGAAGAACGTCATCCTCCTTCCTGCCTTAGCTGCTGCAATGGTGGGAATGAGGTAGTGAACTCCACTGAGCAGAACCCTGATGTTGTGCGTGACTTCTTTTCCGTCCGTAATACCCCTCCCTGTCTGTGAGGCATCATCTGTGGAAATCCCAGTGTAATCTGTCATGTTCTTTCAAACATGAAGCCCAGAACCACAGATAACTTTGGATGCAAACTTTTTTTGGCTCCATGACACAGTGGAATGAGAGAATAAAAGACTGCTTGGCTGCCTAACTTCATTTTTCAGTGGCAAAGTGTACTGCCTTTGAGGTCTAGTAGCATTCCTGATCTGAGCTGGTGAGAACGAGGGAAATTCCTTTCTGTTTAAATTAGGAAGACACCAGATTTCATTAAACAGTGTGAGCAAAACCGGTTAAAATAACTGATACTCTCAGTAGCAGGTACTACCCATGTCCCAGATTCCCTGAGGAAAGCTGGATTAATGGCCCAGGAAGGTATCTGGGAATAAGACCTAGGGACCAGCACACAAGGCTCTGCTTTTTAAATGCTTTAATCAGTAGAAGGCTTATACTATAGATAAAAATTTACATCCTGCTCCTGGCATATATCCTTGCATTGACTACAGTGGGAACATTCCCTGGCTTTGAACTTCCCCAGGAGGCAATCTCATAAAACAAGAGAAGGACACTGGAGGGAGTTGAGAAAAGTGCAACACAAATTAATAGTGGCCTAGAGGGTTTTGTTTGTTTTTTGAAAAAAGAAATTGCAAGAGTTTACAGTAACTGAGGGGAAACATGAAAGCATCTATGTTTCTCTAATCTGATCCATCATTTCTAAGATCCCTATTTAAACAGTGATTTGATATCAAAAAGATGAACACTAAGGAGAAAGATTATTTAGAACACGAAAACAGAATCACTGGAATGAAAGTAAAGTGGAAGTTCAGTTTAATGACTAGGAGAAAAGAATATGAAAGTAGGATTGCATAAACTGTGGCAAGATCATTGTATGATTTCTGTTATCATATTTCAATGCCTAGATGAATGTTATCTGGCATTCTGGCCATTGATTTTGAATAACTAAGTAGGGGAGGTGCTAAAACAAATCTCAGCAGTAAAATGAATTATAGTGAAGTAAGGCTTTGGGCTCAGTGGCTTTGTGCGAAACTTCCTTGAGGAAGATCTCCAGCTTTTAGAAAAATAACCCTAATCTAATGTATGGTTCCGTATAAGAATTGTGCACTGGCACGTGATCTCTTTTGCCAGACATATACAGACTGTTCCTTCTGCCTCTCTGAATTTGTTGACATCATGGTGTAAAATGTAGAGTGATGAGATGACCAGACTTGAGAACTGCTTTTGTGGCTCTGGAACTCAATTACCACAAGTCCTTTAAACCACAAAGCCTGCTGAGAGTAAGTTATTTATGCTAAAATAGCTTTTTCTTTGTTGTCTTGTGGGTGTTTTTATCTATTTAAAATCATTATACATCATAGCAACAGTATGAAGTAGAAATTAGGTGTCTCTTTTCTAATAGGCTCTGTTCCTAAGAGTTGTAACTGCTGGAAGCTGCTGAGAGTAATTCTTGTTGCATTATCATTACCTTCCATAATCATACCATTAGTGACTGTGGTGTTATTTAAGTGCCCTGGTTCTGTTTGCTCTCTGTGGAGACCATTTGTCAAGGGGCCAAACCTCTCTAGATTAAGTCTATTACTATCCACAGATGTATTGTGAAAACATGGAACATCAAGAGGCACTTAACCCATGGTCATTAGAATTGAGGATTATTGTTTCTGCCACATCTACCCTCTCCATAGAGGGGAGGGAATTGCTGCCATGTTAATGAATATGGTTCGCTGAAAAGAACTATTTTGATGTTTTTCCAACCACTGTACATCCATCCTGTGGCACAGAGGAACAGAGAATCTGAGACCAACTCTTTTCTCCCATGAACAATCATTGTTATTCTTTTTATCAAAGTTATATTTGGTTTAACAGAACGCATATGGGATCTGCTTATTGAAGAATCACCATCTCTTCTAGTAAATGTCTGTCCGGTTGTCTGAAGTAGAGGAATGCTAAATAGGAGGAGACGAGGAACGTTCTAGAACTGACAAAGGGAAATGGCAGCTATACCTCTGGAGATTTTTATATTTCATGTATTCCTGACCTGTGCATTCAAGCCATTGCATTATATCATCTCCCTGACTATGACAGTGTCAGTACACCAGCTTATGGATAAAAGCAGCAGGCATCTTCAGGAGAAGAGGCAGTGCTCCCTATTAGCGCTGACACCAGTCTGAGATGGCTGATATGTTGGTGTTGGTTTTAGTGGTATTTGCAGGGCCAGCCTCAGATCCAATTTCATACCATATGGAGGAACCTCAACAGCATGCAGAAACTACTGACCAGAGCAATCTTTACGTACCTTTCATGTTGTACAAGTAGTTGTTGGAGAAAATAATTCCTTTATTTTCTACATAAAACATTCTAGCAACTACAAGCAAAGCTAGAAGAAAATTATTTATTTGTTTCCATGCCTTATTCGGAGTTATTTGACTTTGCAGTAGGTCCCAGGAATACTGTGCAATTTTAGAAAGTATGCTCAGGAGTATGTAGCAACTATTTTTAGGGTGATACTCTCTGACATTGTGTTGTTTAGTTTAACTTAGCAAAATACAGATATCTGTATGCCCAACCATTCTGAATATTTGCCTCCTAAGTGGTGAATTGTTTTTT